TTTATATGTATGTGTGTGAAAAACTTGGTCTAGTTTCAGATTTATTATTTGTGCATTGCAGTGACCTTGATACAAGACCTTTCAGGAAGGTAGGCAGAGAAAGCACCTCCGCTGGGACCAAGAAAGAAGGGCTCATTCAAGAAATCCTTGGACAGCGTGGAGCACTTTGTGATTGTCAGGCCACCGACTGGGCTCCATGGTTATACGGAAGACCACGTCTCTATCTGCAAAGCGCTGAGCACCCAGTGAGCACAGAGCAAGTGAGGATTTTGCTCCCCACCAATGAGTAAATACATACAGCTAGATCAAGACATCCAACTCCCAGAGTTCTCGATTGCAGTGCTCTTTCCACTAGAACAATGCCTTTCAAATGCTGACAGGGCTCATGTTTAAAAAAAAATTAATTCAGTAGCACTACCTAGTACAGATATTCACATTTCTGATCTTTTCTATTTAATTCTATTGTGTTTCATTTCTTTAAAATGTTCAGCTTGACACACTACATTGGTTTATGACTCAATCAAAGGAGGAAAAATACTGCTCAAGAAGATGTATTTTTTTTTAATTTTCTAGAATTTCAAGGTCAGATGTAATTCCTATTTTTTTTCTCACACAAATGAATTTGTATCCCAGTAAAAAAAAAACACTATCAAATAATCAACCCACAAAGAGCAACATAAAGCCATGACAGCTGTCTGCTGGGGAGTGGGAGGGAGCTAAATCTCATCCCCTAAAAGCACGACAGTAAATGCCCGCACTAAGGGAAACAGCATTTGCTAAGCAAAAACATCTCAGTGGCAAGTGACCCAACACCCCAGCTCCCCCCTCCATTAGACTGTGGCCCAAAAGAGTCCCATACAAATTCTGGTGCTTCTATTTACAATAAATTTTTTTAAACGATTCTGTGTGAAGAAGCTTGAATTATTGGGTTGGCCAAAAAGAATAGTTAGGTGGCTTTTTCCATAAAATAAGATGTATTTTTCATTTTCACTAATAACTATTGATTTGGATATTTTGAGTATGCTGGCTATGTCCCACAAGGTATAATGTTGGATTGTTCTCAATTAATGTCTTGATTTGATCACTATCAAGTTCAACTGGTCAACCTGACCGTGGAGCATGGTCCAGAGGGACATCTCTAGCACGAAATCACAAACCACTTTTGACACATTCGATCAGTCACAGCACCTTCTCTATACACTGCACAAATCTTTTTAGTGTGTTTTAGTTGTGTTTTTACCTTTCTTGAAGTAATAAAGCATAATATGCTGAAAATGTGGCATATTTTCTTCCTTCACTATTAAAATGGCTACATAAAAGCTCACTAATTTTGATAAATTTTTATAAATGCACACTGATATGATGGCTGTCACAATACGACCTAACAAATTTGTTTTGAATGAAGTTAAAGACAACTAAGCGCTACTACAGTCATCTTACGAAAAAAACAAATAAACTTTTTGGCTGTGTTTGGATGGGGAACAATAAATTTATTAAATAAGTGAATGAGAATCAAAACAAACTATTGTAAACAAACACATTTTAGTGTTCTAAAATCTGCCTCTGAAATTTGCCAATCTTCACTTAAGTTGAGGGGAGGAGTATATTGAATCACAGATCTGAATAAAGTGGAACATTCATTAAGCTAGTATCTCTTTTGGTGTGCCCATGAAATATTAGAGCAAAGGCAGTATGTACATTTTCCTCACCATGAGACGTTTCTACAGCACTTCCCACTAAAGGAAATGTGGTACCAACAGCACCACTACTTATTCTCAAGCTAGAGATGAACAACCCCCAATGTCCTCAGAGTTCTTTTAAGAACTGTGTTCCCTTAACAAGATGTAAAGTCAGAAATCTGCAGAAAGACGGAAAAATCCCTTTCCATCTTCCATGTCCACAGGCAGTACCCCCAGCTCTGAGAATGCAAATTAAGTACAAAAATGTCCACTCGAGTTCTTGGGCTTATACTAGCCTCACCATTCCCCATCCAAGAAGTGTGTCTGAGTTTAAAGGACTCATTTTTGTGACATTTGTCTCAAATTAAAAGACTATCTTATAAATTTTGAATAAATCTTCCTGTCTTTCTAAAAAGAAACCTGTTTAAAGCTAAGTTTGGAAAAACATCCTTTCTCTAAAGATGAAATGCATTTTTCCTAAGGATAAAGAGAAAGCCACTAGCTGCCTGGTATGAAGCACTTGAAATGTGGTTGGTGTGACTGAGAAACTAAACTTTAAATTCCATTCGCTTTAATCAATTCGCTTTAATCAATTTCAATAGCCACCTGAGCCAGAAGCCCCCTTGTGGGCACTGCACGACCGGTAATCAACATGGTCCTCAGCAGCAGAGCTGTGTCATTGACTTGTCTCAGACTGAATGCCACATTTTGAAAAAATGATCTCCTAAACCGATATTTGCTTCTCAGCTTCCTAATTAATAATTAATTCATTCACATCTACGATTTCCTCGGAAGTGGTTTTTCAACAAAGTTTGGCAATTTTCATTCTAAAACATGAACAGACTAGACCTGCTGAGCAGAATTCCTTTGGGAACATTTAATTTTCCATCTGTAAAACTTAAGCATGGGGAAAGGAGAAAAATCCTAAGCTCATCCCCACCTTGATACACAGGGAAGAAATAAAACACATAAATTCATACAAAGGTTAATATAACCTCCTAAACCAGCAATTTTCAACTGGTGTGCTATAAGAATTTTTAAAACATGCAATACCTGACTGTTTAGTCAGGGACACTGACCTCTTTTCCCTTAGACTGTCAAATAAAAAAATGACAGCAGCCAACACAACAAGACCTATTCAGTGTGAACAAATAAAAATTATACTTATTTTTTGTCAGACCAGCAAAAAACACAATACATTTTTTGGTGTGCTGCAGAATTTCAGTAATCAGTTGGTGTGCCATGCGATGAAAAGGGTTCAAAATCACTGTCCTACATGCTTGTATGCGTACATCTACTGTGACGTCTGCTCATCCAACCCCATTTATGTTTGCTTCTTTAGACCCAGTTGCAGCTTTCAACAAAAGTCATTCTTACATTTGCTTCACCTCTTAACTGTGTTCTGTTATGATCAAACCATGACCAGACTCTATAAAAGTATTCTACCTGTAGAAAAACCATTTAAAATAAACACACTCAAATATTCTACTCTTAAATGAGACAAACTGATCAAATGGTCAAAATGCAGTAGCCTAAAGAGAGAAGATGCTTCCGAGAGACTAAAATATGTAAATTATGTCAAGACCACTTTCCAAGCAGGTGGCAAAAGAAACTACAATTCTATAGTCAGCAGGGAAGAGGCACCCCAAGAAAAGATGCTTAAAAATACACTGCATCCACGCTGTGGTCATAGGACAGCTAACTTGAACTTCAAGCAGCACTTACAATTGCACTCCTTACAATCCAAGGTCAATGTCAAATTAATTTTGTCAGCCTCTCATCATGCTGACACTTACACACAAATATACCACATACACAAGCACACAGATTTCAGTAATTTCATTGTGTTTAAGTAGAACAAACTTCTAGAACATTTCAAAAAAACACCATCAGCTCATTTGAAACAAGCAATTTAAGTATACCACACAAAGAACAAAAACCACTAACTAGCACCACGTAGGATATCTGGGGAAGGTCGAACTATACAGAGCAAAGCATTTCTAACACAGCAGTGCAGTTCAGGTAAGTATCCAACACCATAGATGAGAACTTCATTTTTTCTCTACCACTGCTACAGCTACCACAAGGCCCTATAAAAGGACTAGAAGCTCACCCTGCGCATCCAAAAAGCTTTGGGATTTGAACAAGATGCACAACCAGGAAGCAAAGCATATACTACCCAGGGGCTTAAGATCTTCCAGAACAATAAATGGCATTGCCAGAAGGAGAAAAGGCTTCATCTTGGAAACAGAGCATTCCGACCTAGCTAGAGACCGTCAGACTCCAAAAAAGCTGGGTGCTGTCAGTCCTTTTCTCATGTGAGTGGCTAAAATCTGCAGGTGCAGCCTGGGCAGGAAAGAGGGAGACAGAGAATTTGAAGTGGGCAACTGCTGTGCTGTTCGACCCTGAGAATACCCTCCTCTACCGTCTCCACTGAGTGCAGCATCTACAGCAGGATGTAAGGAGACTATCCATTATAAAATTCCGGGATAAAAGTCTCAATGTCTAAGACAAGTGCAAGAAACCTCAATGCTTTTTTAATCATCCTAATTCTTAGAGGAAAAGAAGTCAAATGCAATATATAATCCAGAATTTTCACAGCAGGGGCACAAGTTCCCAAAGGCTCCAAAACAAAAAATAAACACTATTTCTCATCTCGTTCTCTAAAAGTCCACTTTAAAACAGCAATGCCTCTGCTTCCCAAAATGAAGTTTAAAGGCAGAAATAAAAATGTACTTAAAGACACTCAGAAGATAAGTCAGCTTACCACAGATTAAATTTAAATTTTATATTTAATATTCTAATACAAATTTATGAGATAAAACACATTCTAGCAGGCAAGAGAAATGTACAATAACAGAAAAAAAGGCAATTTTTTGTTTGGCTTAAAATGTTAACAGTACAATAATACATTAAATGAAAAAACATAATTAACTATCTTAGCACAAATATGGTTCAGTCCTTTTTCTAAATTCCCAGTGTTTATAAGCTAAATATCTTACCTCTTCATTTCATAAGCCCTCAGGTTCTATATAATCCACTCCTATTTCTCTAAAACATCTTTAATGGACTAGTTTCACTAAATGTCAATCACATAAATATTACTGAAGAAATTTATCAATACATAATTATGACATTATACTTCTGAAAATGTCCTTGTTCATTGGGATTCTAAAGAAAAAACTCAATAAAATTGCTTTATATTTTTTTCAATAGTCAAAGCATAAAAGCATCGCCAACCCAAAATGTACTATGTAGTTAATCATGGCTCCTGAATTAAGCATAACATTATATGTTTCTTTATATACATTAAACCCTTACCTGTATATCCAGCATACCATCCCCAAGAAGCCACCATGCCTAAAAGCCATTTATACATGATTCCTTCAATGTACCAGAAGCACTTATTGTCCAGCAATCGAAGGGGCTGAAGTATAATCACATAACAGACGTAGGATGGAATTGCAGCCAGGTTGTTGACCATCATGAAGGCAAACCTCGCCAGGGCTTTCACCAAGATCCAGCCCAGCCACGGAGCTTCTTCCAAAGTCACAGCCATTCTCACATTGGAGTCCGTCCTGCCTTTCTGAGGTGAAAGGAAAATGCATTTACAAAGGAAAATGGCTTAAACACATCTAAATAGTCACCAACATAGAAATGAGCTCCAGCACAAAAATAAAAGAAAAGCGAGGGTCTGAGCCTTCCCGGTGTAGTACCTCCGCGCTCTCCGGGAAATTCCAGAGGGGGACAGAGAGCGAGGGAGGAGGAGCCGCACAAGGTCAAGGGAGCTGTTCACAGAGGCACAGGGTATGTCATAATATATTTAGCAAATGATAATGCTTTTCCCACTAACTAATCGGCGGCCGTCCCTGCACCAAGTCCCACTGCAGTGTGCCGTTGGACTTTAGGGAAAGCAAACAGACCCACTTGCTTCAGACACCCTCAGTATTTCCAAACTAAGGGCACCGGTAGCAAGAAAACTGAAAGGTCTCAATCAGTTTTCCCAGATTCCAGGAACCTGGTACCCTGTGCAACACCATTCCTGCACACTGATTCATTCCTGCCAAAGGTCTCTCGCATTAGCAAAAAGAGTTCGCTAAAAATGTTCATTTGCGGCAAAAGGGGGTTTTGTTTCCTTTTTTTTTTTTTTTTTAAGAATAAAAGAGGGGCCTAGAAAAGGGCAGAAAGGTGAAAAGAAGAAAGTGTGTGTGGGGGGGGGGGGCAGGGGGGTAATGAGAGAAGGAGGAAGGACAGAAATAGGGGGAGGGGAGAAAAAGCCAGAAAGAGGCAAAGGAGAGGGGGCCAGGGATGGAGGGAATGAAGTCTCCACCAGAAGGCCAGGGAGCGGGGATGAAAGAAGCGGGGACGCCGAGGCGACGACTGCACTCAGCAGGCGGGTGGAGCCCGCAGCTGTCTCCCCGGGTGAGGACGGGGTCCGGGCGGCGGTCACGGCCCGCGCGCCGGGCTCACCTCGGCGGGCTCGGACGGCGGGAGGTGGAGCGCGGGGGCGAGCGGGGCCGGGGACCAGCGGCCCCGAGCGCGCGAGTGCGGCGGCGGGTGTCCCCGGCCGAGGGGTCGCGGTCATGGACGCGGCGGCGGCCGAAGCGCGGCGCGAGCCGGAGCCCTAGTGTCCTCGCGGCTGCCTGCGGACAGAGGGGCGGCGAGGACTCAGAGGCCGGACCTGTCACCGGGGCGGGTCCCGGGGAGGCGGGCGGACGCCCCACGCTCCCCCCCTCCTCCTCCGGGCCTACCGCGCCCTGGTCCCCTATGCCCCCGCCGCCACCTCCGCCCGCCCGGCCGCAGGTCGACGACACCCCTTGCCCACCTCCCGGCGCTTCCCCAGGCGCGGCGCCGCCGCAGCCCCGGGGCCTGCGCCCGCCAAGCTGGGAATTACCTCGGGCCGGCCGGGCCCGGGCCCGGGCTACGGGAGCCTGAGGAGCCGGAAGAATGCATGGCCGGCGGCGCGGCCGGCGGAAAGAGGCAGCAGCGGGACCCGGCCCCGCTACGGCTGCGGCGCGGCCCGCGCCCGTCCCCGGCGGCGCGGACTCTCTGCCCCCAAGGGCCGGCCCTGTTCCCCGGGCTGGTGGGGAGGGGCAGCAAGGAGGAAGCGGCGGGATTCGGGACTGCAGCGGAGCCGCCCCCAGAGCGCCCTCTAATGAAGGCGCGGCTGCGGCCGCGCTTCCCGCCGCCACCCGCGGACCCCACTGGTGTGTGGGTCACGGCCCTCAGGGCTGCGTGGTCCCCTAGGCCGGGACCTCACTGAGGTCAGTAGGGAGGGGAAAGGCCGATCAGAAAAGTCTAGAAAGGAGCACCAATCCTTACAGCGCACGAGGAGCGCTTTGGTCCAAATCCAGAGCCCCCTTTCAGCCAAAACAGCCGTTTTTCATTGTTAAGGCTCTCTCCTCTGACAAGCCGATCACTGCCCAAACTGGGAAGCTGTCTCCTTGAAGACTGAATATGTCTTTTCTTTCCTAATGAAACTCAGTGGCTCTCAAGGCTTTTCTTTCGAACCTCGCCAGAGTATATAGGTCTAGCCTAGAGTCACTCTGGAGTTTAAAGTCAATTCACTTTAAGTGCCAGAATTCTTGTTTTTGAAAAACACCTGAAATACTGACAACTGCAATTCCCCATCCATCCTCCCATCTCCACTCCTAAAAATAAAAAAATTAAAAAAAAAGGAATCCAGTGGGAATGAGTGGTCTACACAGAGGCACTAAAATTAGTTAGTCGAGGAGGGAAACGCACTTTGCAGCGCCTGTCATTGAGCGAGTGAACAAAAAATGGTGGTCATAGGTTTCTGGACAGGCTTAGTCTCTCCTGGGACACTAGCTGCTTCCTATTTCAAGGACGGACCACCAGAAGGGAAATAAAGAAATAGCCTAAAGACCTGCCCACCTGCACATTCTCAAATGGCCTATCTACATTTCAGTTTAAAAAATAAACTTACAGGCCCTGGCCGGATGGCTCAGTGGGCGGGAGTATAGCCCCCACAAGACAAAGTTGAGGTCAGAGCACGTATAAGAATCTGCCGATGAGTGCATAAATACGTGGAACAACAAATCCATGTTTCTCTCTCCCCAGCCCTCTCTGTCTAAAATCAATGAATAAAAATTAAAAATAAAAATAAGCTTATAAAAGCTTGTTACAGCCTTTAATCACATTTGTAAATGGAGGGGGGGACAGTCTTTATATATTTCTAGTGAACTGCCATCTTTAAATCAGAATGTCACCTATTTTGCCTACTGCGAAAATGTTTGTCACTGTGTTTGCTTTGAACTATTTCTCTCTCTCTCTCTCTCTCTCGCTCTCGCTCTCGCTCTCTTTATAGCTCCAGTTTCTCTTTGGTTCACAGATTAGGGAAAGAAAATTCATCTTGTGCTACATGAAAGAATACTTTCTGCTCCCATTCCCTTTGATAATGAAGAAATCCATGAAAGCACAGCGCCTGGCTGAAATAATTCCTTCCCATGTATTATTACTTGTTTCTATCTATGTATGTTATTTCTCTGATTTCTCTAATATTGTATTTTAACTATACAGGGCTTAAAAAGGCACCAGGGCCTGTCAGAGAACTTTTCATATAAATTCAACTGATGTATAGCAAAAGTTAGATATGTTCTTTTTTTTAATTAAAAATTTTTTTAGAGAGAGAGGAAAAGAAGGAGGAAGAGAAACATCAATGTGTGGTTGACCCTTGCGTGCCCCCAACTGGGAATCTGTCCCATAACACAGGCATGTGCCTGGACTGGGAATCGAACTGGTAACCTTTTGGTTCACAGGCCTGTGCTCAACCCACTGAGCTCTACCAGCCAGGGCAGATATTTTCTTTCTATTCCCTGTATTCCATCTGAGAATTTAGGTGCTGAGGTACTAGCATCTTTAAATAAATCTAATGAGAGAAATAATGTATATACTGTAGATTTCTGTTCGGAGTGGGTCATTATAGTTTATGTAAGATAGGTGAGGCACATATTTCTTTCCAAGAATCAAGAGTAAGTGCCCCTAAGATTCCTTTTGGTCCATCCCATTCAGCATTCCTCACAGGGTGGTAAACACTGACTGACACCTGGAGAGATATAATCTGCAATGGGATGTATACCTGGTTCCTGGACCACAGAGCATCTGCCGGAACCCCAAGGTACACCAGCACTTTCTGAGATGCGATGAGTACCAGCCAGCTAGGCCCACAAAAGAGCCGGAGGTTGGGCAGGACCTTGCATAGTGGGTCTCACACTGTAGTGTGCAAAAACGTCACTTGGGGTGTTTATTGAAAAGGTGGATTCTTGGGCCAGAAAATTTTAATACTCTAGGTCCAGAGGGGCCTGGGACCCTGCTTTTAAAAAACATCAGAGGTGTTTCTGATGAAGGCAATAGGGAGACCCTGCTTTAAGAAACGCTGACTGTAAGGCGTCCTGAGATAATCACATCCTTTTCTAGACCCTTCGTAATTTTTAATCTTTTGTTCATATCTGTTCTTATCTGTATTAGTTTGCTGGGGCTGCCATAACAAAATACCGTGGACTGGGTAACTTAACACAAATTGATTTTCTCACAGTTCTGAAGGCTAGAAGCCTAAGATCAAGGTATCGGCAGGGTGGTCTCTACTGAGGTCTCTCTCCTTGGCTTGTAGATGGTCATCTTCTCCTTGGCCGTTCACATGGTCGTCTCTGTGTGTGCATGTGTCTGGTGTCCGTCTCTTTGTGTTCTAAACTCTTCTTACAAGAACAGCACTCAGGTTGGAACAGGGCCTACCCTAATGAGCCCATATTACTTAATTACCTTTTTAAAGGTCCTATTTCCAAACATAGTCACATTATGAGCTACAGAGGGTCAGGGCTTCAATATAGGAATGTAGGGTGATGAAATTCACCCACGACGTCATCCTTCTATTGTTTATATTACAGAATTTGCTATTGAAGTAGGTTCTGATGGAAGGGACACAGGGGCCCTAATATTGATTTTTTCAGTTGTTCTCGTGACTGGTTCCAACCTCATTAGACTTTTCTTGAAGCAAACAGAGAATATACTGTGTTCCAAGTGTAGATCTGCCTTTTCTTTCCCCAAGGTGAATGAGGGGGCTTATCTTTTCGACTTGCTTGACCACTGGAGCCCATTCAGTTTCAAGATAATTCAGTACATACAGTGGATAAGAAACTACACTAGGGCTGACATCTCAGGGAACAATATTTCTTCTACTTCAGAGTTCACTTTATTTATTTATCCCTCACCCAAGGATATGTTTATATATTTTAGAGAGGGAGGAAGGGAGAAAGAGAAACAGCAATGTGAGAGAGAAACATTGATCTGTTGCCTCCTGTATGTGCTCCAACCAGGGATCGAATTTGAAACCTGGTTCCGTGCCCTGACTAGAGATGGAACCCTCAACCTTCTGGTGTACAGGACGATGCTCCAACCAACCAACTGAGCTGCCCAGGCAAAGCCAGGTTTCATTTTATATAAACATTTTGTATTCTTTCACCTTATATATAATACTTTCGTCCTGCCTATACTTTTTTTTTTTTTGCCCTCAACCCACTTAAGCAGCCTCCTGAGATTTTTCTATAGCTCATTCCCACAACACGGCAGGCAGGCGGGTGCATGGAGGCTCTGAATGAGTGTGACAGGAAGCTGGGGAAAGCCCGTTCTTCAGGGGAGACAGATTCAGAAAACAGGGACTTTCTTCAATAAGTAATGAGCTTCTAGTTCCCTATCTTGCTACCTTAGAGACCTTAGAGCCTTGTTTATCAAAAGCCCGACAGGAATTAAGTCAAGAAATTCAGAGCCTTCATATATATACCCCAATAGGGAAAAGGAAAATAGGCTCCACCCAATGCCACAGTCGTTACAGTTTCAGTTTCAAAAGCCCACATTGGAACCATAAGAGGATGGTCCTTCGTAAAAGATACAGGACTTCTCACATTTCCCGAAGTCCCCAGACATTTTAAAACAATCTAACCACAATACCTTAGAAGGTTTAATTTCACCCACCTGGTCCACATTCACACAAATTAGGTTATAACCAGGGAGGGGCTCCCTTGGGCAGAAACCCCCCCTGGGCCCTCTCTTTTTCCTCGTGGCAATTATAAAAACATTCCACCTGCCTGTGCCGGCTTCTGCAGTAAAGCTCCAATGAACAGCTTCCTCTCCAGGGGAAACCCGTCCACAGTGTTGTAGGTGCACAGTGACTTGGCACAGGCGCCCACATCGCTAGAAACAGTTGCAGCCCAGAAATTAGCACCCAAGAGAGTCCTGCTTTCCACCCACTGTCTGCTTTAACTTCAAACAAAAAGGGAAATATATATGTAAATATATAAAAATATTTTTCTTCTATGTTATTATCAGTAATCATTTTATATAAATGTATAAGGGCTTATAACCTTAACAGTTTTTAGACAAGCTGGGTCAAACCATTATGGGTAGAGTGCAGTTTTATTTAAGTCATTTCAGCAACTTTTCGTGAATGTGGATGGCCCTAAGCAATATTAACTAAACAGTTCTCTCTTGTCTGGGCTGCTCTCCTCTTCAATTAATTTCCCTTTTCCCCTCTTAATGCCAAAATGATCTCTAGTTCCTAAAGGGAAGACCCCCACTCTCCCCAGAGACAGGACTTTAAGCTAGAACCTTCTTTGTCACTGGTCCAACATTGCATTTCCTTAGCTCAGCCCTGTCCTTCCTACCCACTGTGGTAAATTAATTCATGCTGAGATGCTTATGGCGGAAGAAACCGTGTTCCCTCTCGCTAAAGTATGAACGTTTTATAAAGAACCTCCTAGGGGTAGGTTCTCAGGTGCTGCAGTGCACGAGCATTCTCGTAAGATATTTTACAGAAGGCTATTTCAGCACATTTCTCCCCTGGCAGAACCTACAAAGTCATATGGCACACCTATGGATAAGAAAAAATGCACACTTAAGATTGCATTGTCCTAACATAAGAACTGAACTATTAACATTTTATGTTAATACTAACAGCTGACTTTCAACTTCTAGACCTTCTCTCAGTGCTTTACGTGCATTAACTCATTCAGACTCACAAAAACCTTACAAAGACCGTGCTGTCACCCATATTTCACAGATGGGGAGATTAAGCCATCTGCCTTAGGTTACTCAGCGACAA